ATTTGGTTTTATTGTTGTTATATTTTATGATATTAGATCAAGTAGAAGTGCAGCAAAGTATCTTAATGGTCGTTGTTATCGAGGCCATCAACTTCATATTGTATTTGGAATACCAATAGATATTAATGAAGGACCAAATCATGGTACATTGGTTATTTTTAACATTAACAAACAAACTGATGATGAAACTCTTAAAACACTTTTTTCAAAATATGGAGAGATAAAAGAGATTCGTGAAACTCCATCAAGAAAATATCATAAGTTTATTGAATACTTTGATTCAAGAAGTTCTGATGTTGCTCTTAAAGAATTGAATGATATTGAAATCAATGGAAGAAAAATAAAGATAGAAACTTCTAAACCAAACATTTCTAAACTTATCTTTCTTCAATGTGTGTCAAATCTTCTTGGTATTCCAAGAGAAGTACCAGTAATAATTCCTCCTTCTGAACTAATTGAATTAATCCAACACTATGCACAAGACAATGTAAAGAGTTATAATGAACATCAAACTGAAGCACAACTAGAACAAATTGAATTTGATAGCGAAGGAAATGTATTGGATAAAGTTAAGAACACAGTGATCATTAAAAATATCTCAAGAAAGTGTTCCCATAATACTTTTATTAGATATCTCCAAAATTCTATTTCTACTTTTTATAAAAATGCTTTCTTATTTAGAGAAATCACTTCACAGACAGGTGTTGTTATTGTAACAAATCCATCTGTAATTGTCTCACTGTTTTCATGTTTCAATGACAAAATGATAGAACCAAACCAAGAACAACTTTGTTAAGTGTATTATAGTAGATATCAAGATAAAGACTTCATAGAGAAGGTTGAGGAAATGATAAAGAGATCGAGAATATTCATAATTTACAAAAGCCTCTATGTACGTTAAACTATAAAAACTAATATTCAAAGATTTTTCTGAACAATTCCACGTATCAATTTTTTTAAAAATTGCCAAAAAAAGAAGAACTATTGTAAAAGAAAAAATAAATAAGAAAGAAAACCCTAGAAGTTTCTTATTTTGTTATATTTATACGATATGAAGAATTAGAATCATTCAATATTTGCAATGACTAATACTCCTACTCCACATAATAGTGCTAATGTAGGTGATTTTGCTGACACAGTATTGGTAGCTGGTGATCCATTAAGATGTAAATTTGTTGCAGACACTTATTTAACTGATGTTGTTCAAGTTAATGGAGTAAGAGGGGCTTTAGGATATACTGGCTATTATAAAGGAAAAAAGATTTCTATTCAAGCACATGGTATGGGTATACCGTCTATTGGAATTTATGCCTATGAGTTATTTAATTTCTATGGAGTAAAAAGAATTATTAGAATTGGTTCTGCTGGAGCTATCAATTCTAAGTTAGATATTGGAGATATCGTTATTGCAACTGGTGCTTGTCACAACAGTAATTTTATGCAACAATATAAACTTCCAGGAACATTCTGCCCAATAGCTGATTATGAGTTAGTCCATAAAGCTGTTGAAGCTGCTGAAAAGATTGGAGCTAAATATGCAGTGGGGAATGTTTTTTCTAGTGATTGTTTTTATGATGATGCAAATTCATTAAAAGAATGGGATAAGATGGGAGTACTTGCAGTAGAAATGGAAGCAGCTGGGTTGTATGCTACTGCTGCAAGAGCAGGTAAGAAAGCTTTGACTATTTGTTCTATTTCTGATTGTCCTTTTAAGGAGACTGCTCTCTCAGCGGAAGAAAGACAAACCAAATTTACACAAATGATGGAAGTTGCACTTTCTATTGCTTAACTTTTTAATAGATTACATTAAAGTTATTTATTGGTTGTTGAAAAAAGGAAGTTTAAAACAAAGATATGACAAAAGAAGAAAATAAATTATTTGACTTTAGTTTTTTCAAACAAGAGAGAAGGAGTTCTATAGATTGTAATTAATTCATTCACTAAATCTTCTTCAAGACGCAAATCACCATCTTGTCGTGCAATAATAATATCATCACAAAGTTGTAACAATCCTAAACAATTAGGAAGATTTTTAAACATAATTGTATGAGCCTGACCTACATAATCAGATTTGATTAGAGAATAAAGTGCAAGTACAACAACAGTATAAAGACCGATAATACCTAATGAACTAAGAGCAGATAAAATACCAGAATTTGGAACTTTTGGGGATGCAATAAAAAGTCTTATACCTTCTGAACAATTCCAAAGTTTATCAACAAGTACACATTGTTGAAAAGACCAATAATATAAATTTGTAGTTGAATCGAAATGAAGAATTGGTTTTAAAGTAATATTTACATTATCAAAAGCATCAAGGACATCTTTCTCTTTTAGTGTTGGCATTTTCAAAATTTGAGGAATGATAGATAAATATAAATCATCAGTCCCACCATTTAGAATTGTTGATAATTTTTTTTTCTCTTCAGTACTCATTTCATAAGACCCACTATATTTGAATGAGTTTGATGCAGCAGATGATTCACGAGACATAGAAATTGCATATGTTAATGTTAACGTTTCATCAGCAAGTAAATTTGTATTTAATTCTTTTTTCTTTTGAGGTGTTAATAACCAATAAGTCATTGCATCAGATGATAATTGACCTGAATAAATATTGTCACTAGAAAGAAGAGATAATGAAGAATGATCTTTTTGTAATTCATTCCATTCAGTTTTAGTAATTTCTTTGAATACTGATTGTTGTTGTTTATATAACTCTCCTTGACCAACAAAACTCAAAACTACTTCAACGTTTGTAGGTTTTGGTTGAGCAAAATTAGGAGCAGCAGATGACATGAATAATAATGGGAACCATAAAATTGCAAGAAGAACAATAACCATAATAAATCCAGAAGTAATTCTTTCTACAATTCCTCTTGGTTGCCCATATACATGATTTCTATTACGTTCTATTACTCTATCACATTGATTCATATATAGTTCTGCATGAATATCTTCTACTTTTAACCATTGTTTGTAAAACATTGAAGTTTTTGAAAGGCACCAATCAAGAATTGTTCTAATTTCATAAACAAAAGGTAATGTGTAATACGTATGAAAGATCATTTGAGAATAGAATGAATAATTTATCATTAATATTCGTTTTGATGATAATATATTATATCCAGCTCTTATTTGAAGTCCAGAAATTGTCCAATAAACAACTTTAAATAAATAAAATATAGTGAGACATGCTTTAACTATTTTTGTTTTAGTTTCAACAAATGAAGGATATACAATAACTATTAAAATATGATATAAAAGTAATGAAAAATATTGCATAACTAATTTAGCTTTAATAGATTTACATAAATAAATAATACGATCTGCAAGAATCATTACAAATTGTAAAAACAATCCAAGAACATAGGTAATTGGTAAATAATCATCTGTAAAGAATTTAATAAAACTACCTTGAATATTAGTAAAAGTACCCTGGAAAATAATAAGGAATAAGAAACAAAGAGCTTCACTAATAAATAATGGTATATAAAAATCAGCTCCCTGTTTAAATTGATCATTAACAATAGAATTAAAGAATGATTTAAGAGGATTATATATTGTACTAAAAGCTTTATCAAGTAAATTTTTATTTTCACCTTTTAATTCTTTTTCTTTTAGATATTCTTCACGATCTTTGAGGAAATTATTTAGTTTGTCTGAACTCATTTTTTCACTAATTTCAAGAGATTTTTCTGATAACATTTCTATTTCATGATAATGGACACATTCAAATTCATCAATACCATCTAAAACTTTATCTTTGTTTACACAATATTTTTTATCAAATGTTTTTTTATGTACTTTTTTTGATTTTTTATAAACTTGACCATTTACTACTTTACCACTTTGAACATAAATAGTTACATTTTCACAATTAATAAGTCCCATTTTTCCTCCTTTTGTTACAAATAAATCACCATTAACTTGCATATTTTCAACAACAAATAAATCATGTTTTTTATATGAAAGAAAGTCTTCTTCTCCTTCAGGTGCTTCAAAATCTACTAATGCCTCAACAACAAATTTTAATTCTCCAAATGTTCTTGGTTTAATTTTATTGACTAACTGTCTTCTATAGTTTTCAATAATCAAATTAGACCATTGTCTTCTTAATAAGTATTGTTGTTTCCAATACCCACGTGATCTCATACATGATAAATGTATTAATATTGCAAATAAACAAAGAATATCCCAAATAAATCTTGATGCAATGTATCGATGTACTGGATAAATTCCTATTAAATAAACTGGAGACATATGATTATTTGTTAACGGTGTTGCATCACATTGCATTGTTTTTTCGTTAAAAATATTAGTGGTATATGAAATAACATCATACTGTTGGTCATATCTATCTGATGTTAAACAAAATCCTGGTAATTGGAAGAATAATCTAACAAGAATAAGACATACATTATACAATGATAATAAATTCCAAAAGAATTTGGTTGGATAAGGTCTAATAGAAAGTGCTATAACGGCAAACCCAATAATAGGGAATACAGCACTTAAAACATTTTGATTAATTAACTCGTCCAACACTAAAATAATTTGGACTAAAACCTCTGTTTGTTGACCAAAATAAAAACAAAGTCCCCAGAATAACATATATATTCTGCTTTTATATTTATATGGTTCATTTCTTTCATGAATTTGAATAAATTCATAATCTCTTTGTGGAATAGGTTTATGAATAGGAATTTGGTCATTATTTGAAGAAATTCTTGAAGTTTTCATTGTGATTATTTTTTCTGGAGTAGTTGTATTTGAATTAATATTAGTATTCTCAAAATTAGATAATGAATCCGTTTGACTTATTTTTTCTCTTTGCTCTATTTCAGTAATATCTGACATTGATTTCAGTTGATGTTGTAATTCATACTTTGGAACAAGTTTTGCTGATTGTGGATGATTTTTTTCTTCTTTCCTTTCTATTTC